CACACACACACACACACACACACACACACACACACACACACACACACTGTTCAGTGAGTCTATTCAACAGGGCAGAAATCTCATTCAGTGATTCTCATTCTATCTCAGTCGGAGCTGAGAATGAGCCGGGGCAGATAGTCCTCATGGTTCTGCTTTACTTTGTAATATCTGGTTGCATAATGGATGGAGGCTATTAGCATAAAGATATTCTCTCATGACAAAGTTATAGCAATGACTTTTAGCACCAAGACGGGCAGATATAAAAGGATATGAGACAATAAATAACCTATCCTCTTTCTTTCTGTCTGTCTTGGAACAACATTTTCCAGCCTGCTGCACTCTAGTGTGCATCAGCCACAGTGCAGCTGCATCCCCAAGTCTCAAGGGGACAGATTTCAGCAATCACCAAGAAGGGGCAGAGAGGAGTAGATTAGTTCTGTCTTTTTTCAACTGTAAGTAACCAGGATAACAATTTTCTACATCTCCAGAGAGATAAATCAAACTTTTCTTTGTGTAAAGCCTGTAGGCTACTGGTGTACTTTAATCAGTAAAGTCAGTCATGGGTGTTCTTGCTCTGTCACTGCCATCTACTGGTTAAAAACAATTAAGAAGTAATGTTTCATGTCACATTGTGATCCAGACCCACTCAGCTTTTCTAACCTGCTTCTAGTAGTGTTTTCATGGGCCTTTTGTTCGACAGCAGGATTAGATTAAGTGAGAGTTGAGTCCAGGACTGAAAACGTGTACTTATTAAGGAGAGGATTTGTCATTTTTCCTGTGGAGACCCAATTTTCTCCAAGGTACAAAGAAAAATGGTTAAAAACCTCTCTGTGGTTTGCCATCCTGGAAGCAATTTTGGTGTAAAATGGAGCTGTCCTGATGTAATATTATACTACACAATTTCTGAACCCCAACGGTCTATTTCTGTTCACTGAAAAAATACGTAACTGCTCTCCCCTTTTTTTCCTCCTCCTAACACCTCCCCTGCTGCTCCGCTCCTCCACTGTTTTCTCCCATCGCTTTTCTGCTTTTCTGTCGGTCAGCTGCTAAAGATGCATCCTGGCACAAATGTGAAAAATCTCATCTGTAAGGGGCGAGACAGAAACAGGGAGAAAGTACAAAATTACACGGAAACCGTGTGAAGCGAGAATGTAGGATACCAGGAGACCACCTGGTTGTGGTGTGAGTGTGCCTTTGTGTCTCTGCAGGTGTGAGCTGGATATATCATTGAGAACAGGTGCTGTGGTAGAATGTATGCCCCTCACAGCTGCAGCCAAGGAGATTACTAGCCAGGCTTCTCAGTAATGAAGTTTCTATCGATTGGCCCACCACAGGTTCTTGTTTCTGCCCGCTAACAGTGTGACTATTTCTGAGCCTCAATTTGAGGTTTTTGAGTACATCAATTAAGGTATAAAATGGAGTTTCCAGGAGGGTACGATTTGCTGATTGAAAATAACGGCTTAGCAACTTCTCATACTTCCATATCTCAAAACTGAGTCAATTGTTTCTTCATCAATGCTGGAAAAAATCCATTTATTTTGTATTGCTAATAAACACTTCACATTTACTGTTGTTTTTTTTCCTCCCCTGTTTCTGTCAGTGTGGGGAGATGTGAGAACACCCTGTGAAAACATTCGACGAACGGACATAACTATTTAAATTACTTGCAGTGGTTTCAGCCATAGAAGCATTGAGAAAATTCAAACACAACTTGAAAATAGCAATGTTCATGTACATTTTCATAAAACCCCTGGGTAGGAAAAAAATAGCCTCACAATGGCCCCTTGGTTAAAAAAACAAAACAAAAAAAGCTGCATAATACTTACAATAGATACGCACACATACTAAAGATTTCAGTGAATTTGCAAGGCAGTAATTATATTAATTTCCCCTATGATCATGCAGCAGGATTACTGAGGAAGTCTATAGAAAATAA